CCTCTCTTTTTCCTGTGTTCTGCTTTGTTTTCCCAGTCCCAGATGGGTGGTGCAGGACACGGTGCTCCAGGCGCCGCGCGCGGTGCGTTCGGTGGCAGCGCCTCCGCGCACGGGAGCTGCCCTCCTCCCTCTCCTGCTGTGGATTTCTTGCAAGGGCCCCGCTTCTAAAAACCAGGCTGTTTCATCTGTTTATTTTCTCTGTTTCAGAGCAGTTTCCTCAGTGAATTGTGCACTGCTTGCACATGTTCCAAAAGAGGAAAGAATGCATTTGGTAAAAAGCGCGTGGGTTCTGTAGCTTTTAGATTTTTTGCCTATTTTTAGCGGAGACCTTTTTCTTGCCGTCTCCGACACCTCGCGCTCTTTGCTGCGCGTTTCTGCGTGAGGTGGTCGGGCCGGCCGCTCCAGGGCGCACGACTGGGGGTGTCACCGGGAAACACTCGCGTTCCCAGGAACGGCTGCTCGTGGAGGACAAAACCGAAACGTCGGGAATGAAGTCGGTTATGGAGTGATCCATTAAGCTTTTCTAGGGGAGGGCTTGGAAGCAGGAATAAGTTATTGTAGTATCGGATGGAAGAATGAGCATATGGTGCTGCTCTTTACTTGCCTAAATAAAAGCCTGAAGCTCTCCGGCAGCTGAGGCAGCCACAGGCGTGCACCTAAATAAGGGTTTTTTAGGCCACTTGTCACAAGACAACCCGAATGAGCAGTGTTTTTATTTTCAGAGAACTAGTCACACGTTACTTCGTGACAACCTTCTGCAAATACAAAGGAAGAGAAGTTTGTGGCTTGGGACGGTCGGTGGCAGTGGCCATCCATGCGTATTCTGAAGCTCCGAGCTCTTCCTGTGGGCTTTTCCCTGTGGTTTTCCTGCAAACAGCTGGCGCAGGAGCAGGGCACCCCGGTGCTCCGTGCGAGCTCGGCTCGCTTGCAGGCAGACCCCGCTGTTGTGATCGTCTCCGCGCCTCCCAGGCCCGTGAACGTGCTCCCAAATAACGTGACCTCTTTCCTATGCTGCCTGCGGACGCTTTGGATCACAGCTCCGAAACGCAGCGGGTGAACAGCCCCGTTGACGGAAGGGAGGATGTCGGGGAGCAGAGGCCGTCAGAGGAAGCGTCTGTTTGCGGCCGGCCCGTCCTGCTTACGGCCCGGACCAGGCCCGTCGGCTCGGCTGCCCTTGGGCTCTGTTTGAAGTTTACGTCTCGGTACCGGTCCTTGCAAACATATTTATCCCAAATAAGCCCAGGGGGATGTGACTACAAAGCAGAGCGTCGCCTCCTTGCTTATCGCGTCTTCCCAACGGGATCATCCCGTACTGCGTTCCCTGGAGGAAAGGAAATGACGGGCAGCGCTTGGCGGGTGAATTCTTCACGTGCTCCTTGGTCCCTTTTAAACCAGTGGTAACGTCAGCCTGGAGCCGGGCAGTGATTCCTCGGAGCGCTCCGGAGCTCCGTGTTTTGGGATGCCCGTTGGGTGCTCTGGGAGCCCTTGCTCGAAGTGCCCTCGTGCCTGGCACTTAATTTGGTTGAATTTGCAGTAGCCCTTAGTTTTCCTGGGATTTTACATGCAAAATGCAGACTCCTGCTAGACTTTCTGGGTGACCGTGCAAACCTGCCTCGGCGATGCCGTGTTCTCCATGCAGCTGGAACGGGGCTTTCGCTGGTGCCACCCCACCGATGGGCCAGTAAGAGCATCCTCCAGCTTGCAGGGGCCTTGTAGGGCCATGGCTGGCCAAGAAACCTTGGAAAACCAAGGAAAATTGCGTTCCTGGAGAAGTTCAATGAATAAAGATCCCTTATGCTGCTTCGTTTTAACCGCAGTGTTAGGAATAAGAGAAACCTTTGCATTAAATGCACTGGAATAGGACTTTGGAAAGCTTGGAAGGCTTCTGTCTTTTAAGCACTCTGGTTATTTTGGCAGTTAGTGTGAGCCAGATTAACAGGAAAGGTGCTGAATGCAATAAAACATAGGAGGGTGGCATCTTCAGATGAAGCCTGCATTCCAAGTGCATGTTTACATGCGGAGATTCGGGCTGGGGGATTGCAAGGCCTATTGGATTATGTGCTATTTGCTCGGTGTAAGCAGCGGCAATTTATTGCAGCAAATATATGTGATGCAACGTGCAAAGATTAGTTCTATCCTCTCTAAAGCGTGATTATTTGGGGTCCTTTTTATACCGTAAATAGATACTCTGCTCATGTGATTCCCGTCTTTTTGTGTCAACAACCCAGGCTGAAGTTGAAGCACGGGCTGCATCCTCCTAATGAAACAAACCCTGAAGAAACCTGCTCTCCACGATGGGGACCAAGTGGAAAGCTTTTTTGTGTGATTTTTTTTTTTTTGGCTGTGCAATGCAGAGCACTCTGTGCTGCCATCTGTTTCCCTTTGCCCAATCCTACTTCCAATTTTTTAACCATTAGCTCCTGTCAGGACGTAGATTCCTCCAAGGGGAGAGCTGCCATGCGGTCCTAAGAGCCGCGCGGGACGGACGGAAGGTGCCACGTTCGGTGCCACCTGGGTAGCGGAGGGGGGTCAGTGTCCTGCAGACGGGGGATGATGCATGAGCAGAGGTGGATCAAGGTGTTTCTGTCCAAGCAAACGGAACTGGAGCAAAATGAGTGACCTGTTTTCTGTGGGTTGCTTTGCAGGTTGGCGTCGGCAGGACGGGGGGTGGGACAGGGGGCACGAGCGCGCGGGGCTCGGTTCGAGCAGCTTCCTGCGCTCGTAAACCTTGGGGACAGTCTCGTGTGACGCGTTTGGCGCCTCCCTTGCAGTGCCATCATGACAACAGAGAAGGGCTCGGCGGCGGACGCCGAGGAGCGGGAGCAGCAGCGAGCGCAGGAGGAGGAGGAGGCCGAGGCGCAGAGCCCGGCGGGGCGGAAGGCGGCGGACGAGGAGCCGGGCAGGAAGGAGCGTCGCGCGTCCGAGGGCCGCGGCCTCTCCCGCCTCTTCTCCTCCTTCCTCCGGAGACCCAAGTCGCAGGCGTCCGAAGAGGAGGCCGATGGCCCGAAGGAGGGCGAAGGAGAGCGGAAGGAGCCGCCCGTAGCAGCCGGTCCCGACGAGGAGCTGCTGGTGAAGGCCCCCATCGCGGCGCCCGAGCCCGAGCTCAAGACCGACCCCTCGCTGGATCTGCACTCGCTGAGCAGCGCGGAAACACAGGTAACCCCTTCCCTTCTTGGACATGTCTCCCTTAACCAGAACCATAAAAGCAAAGACCCCCGAGGTGCTGGAAGGGCTAAAACAGCTTTACAAAAGCTGTGTTGCTTAGTGTAGTTCTCACTTTGGTTTTCCTGTATCAGACCATACTGCAAAGTACTTTCCCCTGCAATCCTAATAATACATTAAAGCATAATATAAATGACCCAGGCCCCTAAGGATGCTCTGCTGAGTCTAGGAGCTCATGTGAGAACCAGGGTTTGGATTCATAACTTACAACAGAGAGGTTGTGTTTTCATTCAGATATCCATGTGCCCACAGTAAGGGCAGTGATGGAGAGCAGGAATTCCTAAAGAAAGGGAGTTTGGAAAAGGGTTTCTTGAACTTGGAGGGGTGTCAATATAGCAGATCAGGACTTGGACATCTGTTCAGCCCGGGCTGCTGCCAAATACAGGTATTCTTTCCTTACAAACCACAGAGAAATCCAGTGTGTAGGCTGAGGCCAGCTCCTAGGAGCTTTCTGGCTTCCGCTCTCCAAGCTCAGGAGCACACAGTTTGCAAGAGGCTCGTGCCACTTCTCCTGAGCAATGTGCTGAAGCCCTCGCGAGGCAGTGACATCCGGAATTGCTTCCCAGTAATTCCCCTGCACATTTCCAAGGGTCTCCAGGGAGGTGCTGTGCCTCAGAGAGGGCAGTCTCTAGCTTCCATCTGCCTTTGGGGGAAAATCAACAACTTCAGGCACTGCTTGTAAATTTTACCTGCTAAAAATCATGGAATTCATGAAGTTATAAAGAGGGCAGTAGGAAACTGGTTTTTCTTTTTCCCAGGTTTATGACCCATTGAAAAACATGGGGTGACTTCTGCTAGTGTGTTTTACCTGTGCGGGTTGGGATTAGCAGAATGGGGAAGAATCGGAAATCCTCCTATAATTTCAGCCGGGATGTTGCATCTTCGAGGGGGGTAAATGTTTTTTTTTCCCCGTTTAACTTTGGTTTCCCCGTTCCGCATGGCCACGTGTGACCGTGCGCGGAGCGGAGCCCCGCAACCCTCCTTCAGGCCGCTCGTTCTGGGCGAAGCACTTGTTGTTTTTAGTTCTCCTTTTAGCCCGGCGCCGGTGGCTTTTTGAACTGTGGCACTCGGCAGATATTTGTGCTGCGAAAGCGTTTGCGGCGCTGCCTGTGTGAGAAATGCTGACCGCCGGCATTGCGAGCTTTGCCCGAATCTCCCCCTCCGATTATCCCGGCCCTGCTGGAACATCAGTCAGCAGCTCGTGGACATTATTAGTTTGGAAATACCGGAGCTGCCTCCGTGCAGTTGCGCCCGAGTGTGATTTCGTGAGATGCCATGGGGTGAATTCAGCTCACAGCAGGCTGGAAAGAAGGGGCTTTGCTCTCCTTTTCCTCCTCCTCCTGCCCCCAAATTGCATCTCTCTCTGCTGCTTTGGTGAATCCAAGTGGCTTCTAAAATGCTTCAGTGGGTGCCAGGGAGAGGGTGTGTGTCGAGCACAGGAGCTGCTAGGTCAGCTCAGAGGGCTGTGAAACCTCAGCACCAAATTCCCTTTTAATTCCCGTGTCACCAGCCGGAATTGCAGAGTGTTGGATCAAAGCGAGTTTTCCAGGAGCTGGAACTGGGGTTTTTGTAGCTGATTTGCTGGGCCCTCGCCTAGGAGGGAAGACTTGCTGTGCACTGTCATTAAGGCAGTGCAGATCTGCATATCTAATCAGCCCTAATTTCTCTAATCAACCCTGTTTTCTTACATCCTTTATTAAATAAGCAGTCGAGTGGCTCGAAGGGCTGTTAGCCTTCCAAATCCGCGGCAGTGGGAGTCTCCCGAGGTGCCGTTGCTGGTCCTGGGTTACGTGTTCAGGGCAGACGACTCGCGTTAGGGGCAGGATCCTTGCGGCCGCGCTGCCCGTTTCACGTGATGCTGCTTTGTCTGACCCTGTAAATGCCAACGTGGCTGTGCCCGGGGTTTCAGCCCGCGCAGGAGGACAGAAAGGACGAGCAGGACCCCGACGGCAAAGACCTCCAAGGCAAGGAAGAAGGGGAAGTGAAGGACGAGGGCGCGAAACCCGAGCCCAGAAAGGAGACTCCGGAGCCAAAAGCAGACAAGGGTTTGAAAGCTACCCAGAGAGCTGTGAAAAGACACAGAAACATGTACTGCAAAGTTGTCCTGCTGGATGACACCATCTTTGAGTGTTCTGTGGATGTAAGTACATTCGGGGGTTCTTTTTTCCCTTGTTTCCTTACCCCTTCTCCTTCCCTGGAAAAACTGTGCATCACATACTCTGCTTTGCTCCCAGTGCACAACACGACCGCCTTTGTTGCAGAAAATCTCACTTTAAGCCATAAGAAGTCGTGTGTTGTAAAACCTCTGGGTGCCCAGGGACTTTTCTTTAGGGTCGCTCTGCTATTTCCGCAGTCCCTTGCTGTGCAAGGCTGGGGGGACCTCTTAAAAAATACGATGTCATGTGTCTCTTTGACCCCAGAGTAGAACTTAGTTTTTTTATGTCTGTCTGAGGTTGTCCGAATGTCTTTCATTTGATTAAAACCTGCTGCCAGGTTGATTTGTGCTTTTTGCTTCCCCTGGAGTACCTTGGCGTTTCATGTCCCTGGCTAACGGGACTCCTGTAGCTTGGATGCTTTTAAAAAAGAAGCTGCTTTTAGCTTGCTGTTGAATATGTTAGCAGTAAACAACTGAAAATCATCATGTTGACTTAACCGCGCTGCAAAGCGCTTGATCAGAGACCTTTCCTCCTGCTTTGCCTGGAGCACTGTCTCCCAGGACAGTCCTGCTGTCAGGACAATACAAAGCCAGCAGAAATTCCCGTTTCGGGATGGAAGAACCTGCCCAGAATACTGATAATCTGGATCTTCTGCCTGCTTCGTTGGCTCCGTTTTCCTCTGGTCCCAGCAGCTAAGCAGGCCCCAAGTGGGTATCTGGGCCGTGGCGTCCTGGGCTCCTTAGAGGAGTCACCTTGGGTGATCCTGGGCAAGTAGGTCAGTTTGTGTAACAGCCTCGCTGTTGTTGTGCCCGGGATCAGCGGAGCTTTTCCGCCGGGATCAGCCCGCAATCCTCGCTCGCGCTGTGGATTTCGCTCGCAGCCCCCCAGAGGCTGCCCCATAACTGGTGGGGCAGCATCTCCGGCCGTGGGGCCTGCGCACGGGGCCGCTTTGCTGGGGTTGAGCGGCTGCATTTGCCAGCTGCTCATCTCTAAGTGCTGCAATAGTGTCCCTAGATGACACTAGGCTCTAAGGACAGTGGTCCGGGGCGGGCTGGTGGCCCTGTGGACAAGTGTCCTGTTCAAGAGCAAACCCTCTCCAACCTTCTGCCTAGCTGGGCGCCATGGAAGACTTTGCTTTCCTGCGTGTCTCCTAAGGTCCTTGCAGGGGACGCGTGCAGCATGCTCGCATGTGCATGCCTGCAGCACCCCCGTTGCACGGGATGCATGCAGCACGCTGAGTCTAGACTTGCAGGATGTGTATTCAAAGCTCACTCTTGAAAGCCTGGAATAAAGCGAGCCCGTGGGATCGTGGATCATTTGCCAGCAGATCCTCCGAAGGGGGCAAAGCAGGAGCAGCGCCTTAGGGAGGCTCCAGCTGCGGCAGCGGAGCCGGCTCGCTCCTTCCCCGCTCTCCGGAGCTGCTCCGGGTTGCCGTAGCTCTGTGCCTTGGGGCCGTTTTCCTTGTGCTTTGGACTAAAAGGGGGTCTGTTCCCGCGGCCAACTTGTTCCGTTTGCAGCTGCGGGATTTGGTGGGGAAGGAAAGCAGGGGGTAGGAGTGCTCAAAGAGCCTTGCCGGAGGCAAGGAGCGTGCGCTAAGCAGGAGGCGAAGCCGGATTTCATCGAATGGAGGAAAAGGTTATGGAAAAGCTGGTGCTTTGTTCCGAGCTGCCGTTTCTTCATAGAAGCCGGGTGCTTTTCGTTCGTTCCCTTTCTCCTTTCCCCCTCAGCCTCAAGCCATGAGGACAGGCAGAAAGCAGCCCATCCCATGGGATTTCCTTTGTCTCTGCAGAAACACGCCAAGGGGCAGGATCTACTTAAGAAGGTCTGTGACCACCTCAACCTCCTGGAGGAAGACTACTTTGGCTTGGCCATATGGGACACGCCGACCATCAGGGTAAGGAGCCTCCTGTGCTGTGCCCTGCACCCGAGGGCATTGTCGTTAATTTTGATGCCCCCCTCCCCAGGAAGGAAGGGATTAGGGCATCATCGAGGCAGGGAAATGGTGGATAAATGACCATGGGAGCATGGGTTTAAGCCACTGAGCTGAATGAACTTGGATCTTCACCTGGAAAAAATTGATTAGAGGTGGTTACTGCAAAGTGATGCCATTAAATTGCGAAGATTAGGTAGGATGCAAGATAAGATTTTCTCACTTGAGAAAAAGAACATTTTTTATTTTGTACTGAGACTTCAAGGGTAAAGCAGCTGCCACTAACTAAGGGAGGAGGAGCTGAGTGGAGGCAGGTTGCAAAAACTCTCGCGGTGCTGCAGTCGCTGCTCACCCAGGGCACGAGGCTGAGCGGTCGGCAGGAGCGACGGAGGCGATGGAGGAATCGCCGTGCCCATCTCAAACTCTCATGTAAGGCATAAGCAAATGCCCATGTGGTCTGGGAAGAGCCTTGCTGTCACTTTCTCTTCCCTCTCTGACTCATGGCTCCCCCGCTGCCCAATTTGCACAACAAATCCTAGCCTTTGAATTCAGGCCAGATTTGTTTTCGCCTTGGTAGCTTGTCCCTCCAGCCTAGCATAGGCAAACGTTGCTGTTTTAATAACAGCTTCAGCTCATTCCCTGCACGAGGTTGTTCCTGGCGTGGGTGTGGAGCAAACCTAATACCCTGCTGTGGCAGTGCGGAGATGTGGGGCTTGGGCTGAGGTTTTGCTTTGGCTGAGGACACGTGCAGCTTTTCGAACCGAAACCCGTCCTGCTGCAGTTTTGCTCTGAGGTCTCTGTTTGGGTAGGCTCAAGCAGTATCTTGTCCTTTAAACCCTTGGTGGTGCTTTAGCTGGGTGCCTGGCAGGCGGCTGCTGTGGCTCTGGGTAATGTCACTAGCCCCAGGAACGTCGGCTTGAAATCGAGGGCACCTTCCCTGCCCGGCTGCGCCCGTCCCTGTCCTGCTGGTCCCCGTGTCACTCGCAGCAGCCGCCTGTGAACCAGGACACTGGAGCTAGAAGGTGTTCAGCACCAAAAGACTTAATAATCGCAAGGAGGGACTTTTAATACACGGCTACATAAACGCCTGCTGTTTGTGGCAGGTGGAGCCACAGGCTGCGTGAGGGTTTAATTCCAGAACTGCCCCCTTTTAGAGTCTCTGTTTTGTTCTGATGGGGGGAATCTCCCCCCACTTCGTTTTTTTTTTTCTTCTTTAATCCTTCTGGTTACGTTTCATTGAACCTCTAAATCTCAATTGCCATCTCTGCTGCATGAGCTTCAAAAATGAGCCGACCCCACAGGACTGATTCCCTGGGAGAAATGATTGGAATGGGGAATAGATGGACGAGCCCCTGCGCTCCGCCTGCGGCCGCGCGGTGCAGGAAGCTCATAGCCGTGATCGTCCCCCGTTGTAGGGATCAAACCTTCCTGGGGTTGCATCCGAGGGCGGATTGCTTCCCGTCACTTGCACCGGGCATCCCTGCATCCCGGCATCCGTCATCGTCCGCCGGATTAGGCGGCAGGATGGGAGCCACCCAGCCCCCAGGGTGCCAGCACCGGCCCTTCAGGTCATTAAGATCATAGCTCTGAGCAGCAGGTCCTGGGGATCTTGCTCCCGGGCAGTGTAAGGGTGGAGATGGGTGCCTGAAATAGAAGCAGCCGTCGTGCTGCCCTGGGAACCGCTCCGGGCTGCGTCAGGGCCCTCCGAGCCGCGTGAGCCGCAGCCGCTGCCCAGGCGGGCGGTTTATTTCTTTTAACGATAGTGCAAACGGGAGCTGGTAGTGCAGAATCCGCGTGTACAGGTCACTTCGCTTGGAAGCTACTGCTGTGATGTTAGGAGCCAGCATCGAGTCTCTCCTTTGATTTTTTTCTACTCCTTAAAGAGCATCCATGTGGTTTCATGTAATACTTGGTTATATGAAATGCTAGATTAATAGGATCACCTGGAGGGAGAAAACCTAAGTAAAAACATATTCCTGTGCTTCATTCCTACAATACTCTAGGTAAAGGATTGCAAATTCGCCCACTGAGGCTGCAGATTGGAGTACAAATTTGCACAACACCCAATATCGTGTTTCCATGGCCGCGGCAGTGTCACGCGTCGCCTTCCCGCGGTATTTTTAGCAAATTGCCGTTTGCTTTGGTGTTTCTGAGACGTCTGTTAAACTGCAAATGTTTTTATCCTCTTCCAGACGTGGCTGGATCCTGCCAAAGAAATAAAAAAGCAGGTTCATGGTGAGTAGAGCACATTTATCCTGCTGGTGTCCGCATGCTTCCCTCCCCTTCCCGCCCCCTTTCCTAAATACAGACGCTCTTGGCGAGCGAAGCAGGACCCGAGGATCATGGAGAGTTCAAGCGCGGGTGTCTGGCAGGGATCAGCACAAGTTCAAGCAGTCTGTGCATCCTTCCTTTTTTTTTTTTTTGAAGATATAGTGATGCTCTAGATTTGGGAAGAACAGCAGCATTTCCTTGCAGGAAGACGTAATTTGCTGTGTGTTCCGGCTATGGAAATCTCTGCTCTCCCTTCTGCTATAGAGATGCGGAAATAAGATACTTGCTCCCTGTGGTAGCATAAAAAAATAGGCGTCAGGGAACCGTTTCAATCTAAACGGAGATTGGGAACCCCTGAGGTTACATATTGAAGTAAGGTTTTGTGGACTCTTCTCCTAATCAGGAATCCAAGCAGGATGAGAATGATAAATATATAATATACTCAGATAGTATCAGGACAAGTAGTGAAAGAGTCTATGTGATGACAAGGGCAGTGAATATTTTAGAGGCTTTTATTTTCCACGAGGGAAAAGCCTAAGGAGTGATTGCTTCAACAAAATAATGCCATTTTAGGTACACTTCTGGCAGGGGGGTGCAGAATGTAATTTATCGTTAAGTTACAAATTAGCACTTTGCCCAGGAGCGGGGGGAATTTGGGCTAGTAAGACAGTTAAAATGGCAAGCTGTTTGATTGTACGAGGGGAGCCCTTGCTGATGGAAGGGCAGTCGGGCTCCATGTGCTCCTTGCACTGCAGCCCCTGCTACCTAAAATATTTCCGTGGGATAACTTGTTTTGAGCTGTGCGTAACAAAAACAACCCAGCTGGCATTTGATCCCAGCTAGGCTGTTGCATAAGAATGAAACGCACGCGAGCTCCTTCCCCTTCCTCCCCGTTTGAGATTTGGGTAAATCTCTTTGCAAACGCAGGAATATCTTGTGTGACGCCAGCGCAGCGGCGGTTTGCGGCACGCGCTCCAATCGGAGCTTCGTGACAGAGCTTGGCCCTCAGGGCTGCTCTCTGGCTCGACAGAGGTGCATCTTCATCTCAGTTTAAGTCTCCTGTTTTCCCCAGGACCAGCTGTGCTGGGTTTAAGCTGCTGATATGACCCCCTTGTATGGGGCAATAGAGTGAATTAACACATCTGTTCCTTACAAGAAATTTGAAAATTGGGTCTTGAATGATAAAGAGCCACCCATCCACCCATCTGACCTCTCTTCATGAATCTTTTTTTTTCCATAGGTGATAAAATACTGAGTAATGCAGCCCCCTAGCAAATAGGTTTTGTGTTTTCCACAAGTCATATTGTCTTGCAAGTGTATCAGTCCATCCTGCCTTGCCTTCTTGTGCTTACATCCTGTGAAAGGATGTAATTCCAATTCCTGTGAAAGGAAAGAACTCACCTCTTGCACCCTCTGCTTAAGCAGAGCTTGCACTGTTGAAATCAGTATTACAACGTGACAGTTGAATTTTGAAGATTCAACTCAAGATTTTGAATACTTGCAGTGTTTAATAAAGACTGTTTAGCAGGAAGCTGTTGTGCCCGTGTGGGGTTTTCTCAAACTCGTCTTTGTCCTTACAGGAGCCCCCTGGGATTTCACCTTCAATGTCAAGTTTTATCCGCCGGATCCTGCCCAGCTCACAGAGGACATAACGAGGTGAACCACCTACTAATCTTGCTAAGGGACAGTCAGCAAAGCAGCCAGTGCTTTCAGGAAGCTACCAGAACTGGTGGCCAAATAGAACATATAATTGAAGCAGATTTTTTTTTAACACTCTGTGGTTTTCCTGGTGTAATTGTGTATTCGTGTTGCTTGCAGCAGTGATATAAAGAACAGTTTTGGTTGACCCTTGGGAAGTCATTTCATAGGGTCACCCATTTTCTGATGAACAGCGTTTTTCTCTGCTTTTCCTGCAGATATTACTTGTGTCTGCAGCTCAGACAAGACATCCTGACGGGGCGGCTGCCTTGTTCCTTTGCGACTTTGGCTCTGCTGGGATCTTACACGGTCCAGTCCGAGCTGGGAGACTACGATCCCGATCTACACAGTGCAGATTACATCACAGAATTTAAACTGGCCCCAAACCAGACTAAAGAGCTTGAAGAGAAGGTTGTGGAGCTTCATAAAACATACAGGTAAGGTGAAAGCAGCAACTTGAATAATGTGGGTTTTTTTTTTTTAGTGTTTTCCTCATCTCTGCTCTGTGCATTTGATTCCTTGCTGCACCGTTATTTTTATTGGCCTCAGGGGCACTCATGAGACACGATTTTTCAGCTATGAAAGGAAATCAGCTATTTGAAAAAGCTCTCATATTTGGAAGCTATAGCAGAGTCCTTCTAGAACCTGGAAGTCTTTATTCCTGCTAGGATAAGAAACTGTTTTGGGAACGCCAATGTGCAATACGGCAATGTGCAGTACTGCACTTAAGGAATGCCTGGGGCTTTGTGTGTGTACCGTAGCCTGCAGCATGTTTGGGCTTTCCTGCAGCTCCGGTTAATAAGTAACACTTTACAGTGTGGAAATACTCCAGGTAATGCCCCGGGTGTCACAACCGTGCGCTCCCCATTCCCGAAGGCGGCAGCGAGCCGGGCAGGTGTCCTCTTGTCTCAGGGCTGAAGGACTCCAGCCCCCTCCAGCACCACGTTGGAGGGTCGCAGTAATCCAGCCCTTTCCCTCGCGTTATTTGGTGTTTTTGGGTGCTCTCGAGCGCTTTGGTTGCAAACGCTGGGCCGAGGGGTGTCGCAGAGAGGCCGCCTCGCTCCCGAGACATGCTGGGGCTTTTAGGGAAAAAGCCTTTAAAGCCGATCTGAGATGCCTGGAAAGGTCTCGAGCTGCCAGCCCCTTGCCCTGTGAGAAGCCTCTGGCTGTGATACACTAATAACCAGAGCAGAGCAAAGCGGAGACCTTCTCGCAGGCGCCTCGAAGCTGATCGTGTAAGTGCGGAGGGAAGGGGCACGTGTGCCCCCGGCTGCTCCCAAAGCTGCAATTAGCACCTCTCTCAACGCCGCAAATCGATACCCTAAATTGATTCCTCTCCATTTGCATGGAGAGGGGAGGAAATGAGGGAAAATAAGTAGGAGGCTGCTGACAAGTTTCATGACTTGGAAGTCAAAGGCCGCTCGCTGGGGGCTGGCGCTGCTGAATTATTCATGTGCTGCTGCCGCATGTGCCCCGTGCGGGACATGGCTGGAGACGGGGACTGCTCTTAACCTCCGGCCTAGGGTTGTCTGCCTCACGGCACCCCGCTAAATAACCTCTCCTAGGTCTGCACTCAAAATGTACACGAGTAATCAGGAAGACGCCAGCCTGG